GAAGTGCTCCCAAGTTATATCTACTCACTGTGGCATTACTTAACCACAGGCATTTATAGCATCTACACCAACACTATGATGTTTTATTTATTCATAGAAAGATTATATCATAGGAATACTCTAAACTTCAGTCATTCTGTGCTACAGACATATACACATCTATATTCTATATACCAATATAGAATGACTGAAGGGTAGAAGTTTGGCACCAGGAAGGCAATCTGGGTATGTTCTTTATAATAAATGGCCAGTTAAACTGAACACAGATTACATAGATGATTTAAGACAAAGGCATTTCTCTAAACATCAGGGTTTCCATTGTTTAATTACTGCTTAATTTTTTACAAAGACTTTGAAGGGCATAATACAGCAAAAGGTGAAGATGGATTCTCAGTGTGATTCCATTTTTAAAAATTCCTAAATATATACATACATAAATCATAGACTAATACTGGTTTAGTAGCGAAGGACTACTCTTTATTTGCCTTTGATAAAAGGAATATACACACAAGAAATGCTTAATGAGCATTCATATTGTGACTTTTAAAGATTAAGTAGATTTAATTATAATTCTGAAACACCTTCCTGTATACCCATGTACTGCAGGAGTAGCATGTTAAACTGATAATACATAACAGATATGCCTAATATATGCAGCATTTAGACTATGTCTTCACTGTCAAAAGGATATGTTTCTTGATACAAAATCCTAGTGAAAACAAGGCACTGCAGGCATACTTCAACGTAGCTAGCCAAGCTGAAAACCAGATTAAGGAAAGAGGGTTGACTTTGAAGGCACAAACTAGCTGTGTCCATTGGCTCCAGTAGGATATTATATTTAAATGGCTATCTTGAGGTTTCTCCCATTTTTCACATCTGCATTTCCACATCGAAAGCTATGCATGGGACACATCCAGCCCACTTAATTAGCCTTATTAACATGGGTCCCACAATTGACAGATACTTCTTTGGCTGTTACAGATAGCTCTTGGTTTCTGTTATTTCCATTCCAATTCATCTGATAAAGTGGGTTTTACCCATGAAAGCTCACGATTTTATATATTTTAGTCTCTAAGATGCCACAGGACTATTAGTTTTTAAAGCACAGACTAACACGGCTACCACTCTGAGATCGTGAGGTGTCTTGATTTAAAACTAATACCTTTTTTCCCCAATGAAGACATAGCTGTAGAGTTCTAGAAAGGGAGCTTAGTTTTCAATCTTCTGTGCTTAATTCTGGCATCCAAATAGAACATTTCAGCATTCAAATGGTTATTTAGGGCCTGTACAGTCACTAAAAGATACTGAGCAACTCTTGTGAAGTTCTGAGCTTCAATGCATAATATCTCCTAAGGGCCTTGATTCAGCAAAGTACTTAAACATATGCTTAAAGTTAAACATGCACTGATTTAGGGTCAGGTAGCACCCTGCATCTTGCAGAAGCAGACACTTCACCATCTAAAACATACTTTAGGAAGCCTACGCACTAATTTGGGTTCTCAAGGAGAAAGCCCAGATTCAAAGAATGAACAGAATGTCAGCCAGAACTGTAAGTAGCTGAGCTTCTTACAGTTTGGGTCTCAGTGATTCTCAAACAATGAATCTCAATATTAATTGAAATGAAGATGCGTGTGTTTGCTCAGCATATTACATATTATGGAAAAGTACATAAAATAATGTAAAATATACTCAAAATATAAACAGAAGAAAATATTTCAAATATATAGTAATTATTGCTCTTGGATTCCACTATCTGTGTCCTTTTCTGTAGGCATTATAGTACAACTGGAAAAACCTTATTGTTCAGCACCAGGAGGCCTGAACTTTTCACTGCAAAGCTGACCTTCAAAATTACATTATGACAATGCGGACAAAGAAATAAATATATGCAAGTCTTTGAACTTTCTCACCCATTACCAAGACAGTTTCCCCAATTATCACCTGTAATACCATTAACTCACAAACATCCCACTCTCCCTACTTTTAATATCAGCAATTCACAGACACTTACCTTCCTTCCTCCCCCTTCCCACCCCCCCGCATCCCCCTTCTGTTCTGCAATGTGATTTGTCCTTTTCATATTTGTTCATTTTTTTTAAATTGTATCCTTTGGTATATATGGTTGTGACTACTTTCTTCCACTATTTGATCTGAGGAAGTGGGTCTGGCCCACGAAAGCTCATCATCTAATAAACCATCTTGTTAGTCTTTAAAGTGCTACATTGTCCTGCATTTTGCTTCAACTCCCCCAGACTAACACGGCTACATTTCTATCACAAATAAATATATGAGGGCCTCGTGTGGTAGAAATGGGCATTGCTATCACTAAAAATACAAGCACGTGCATTTCTGCAGGTTAAGGGGTCTACAAAGCCTTAATTCAATAATGATTGTCATGTAGAGTATAGCAACACAACAATACCGGAAACAGCAGTCAGATTCTAATTGAGAACTGAAGGGCAGTAGTAAAAAAAAAAAAACTGTAACAAGCAGTGAAGTCAAAGAAGTATACATCTAATTTCAAAATAAGCACAGAAAAGAAACATTTAAACTCTTCATTTGGCATTTGGAACAGAAGACCTGCTGAAGTCAGCAGGCATGATAAAAACCTACAAGTAGCACACAATTATGTAGTACGGTGCTGAGGATGACACATGTATAGCCAGTCAGCACAGAGCTGCAGCTCAAGCGGCCTGCAGTTCGAGAACCACTGGTTTACATGGTACCTGTGAGCAAGCCTCCCCGATTACTAGAGGCAGAAGCTAGCAGTAGCTAATGTGCTAAAATAGCAATGTGGACATTCCAGCTCTGGCTCTCAAGCCTACAGGGTCTGATGGGATTCACGAAACCAAAATATCCATGTTGTTATTTCTAGAGAGCTACCATGCACCCTACTAATATGAGTCTGACTACTCTGGGTGGGAGACTTGTTGACAGCTGCAGTGTAGACACACCCTTAGATCAGTGTTGGGCTACCTGTGGCTCGCAGACGGCTTGTCAGGGCAAGGCACTGGCAGACCACCAGGCAGGCTGTTTACCTTGTGTCCACAAGTATGGCCACTTGCAGCTTCCACTGGCCACAGTTCCCCATTCCTGGACAACAGGAGCTACAACCAAGTCCCTCCCAGCCCATGCCACTTCCTGCAATTCCCAGGAGCTGAGGGTGGCCGCAGGTTGCCCACCACTGCCTTAGATGTTATGATGGCAAGGATATCAGTGGCATGTCCACAGTAGAAATGTCACTGTTGCTGGCATGAGTGCTTCACCAACACAGAGAGATTTCCATGAATATATGCAATGCCCAGTAGTCAGTACTCCTCCCTGGCAACAGCAATACTAGAAATCCTACAAATGGCATCACCTGAGTTCACAGGCATACACTTAAGTAGCTATGGCCTAGCCACAACTTCCATGCTGATCTCTCCCTTACACATCAGTGCTCAGGTCTTTGTATGCACAGTTTTGCTCACCTTGCTCAGCACTGTGCATGTCTTTGCATTGCCTCTATTTGGCTACCAAGGCCTCCTCTCAATCTCCACATTATCTTCCTCATTAAACATTGTTTTTTTCCAGGAATCTCATAGACTCAGATGTTAAGGTCAGAAGGGACCACTGTGATCATCTAGTCTGACTTCCTGCATATTACAGGCCACAAAACGTTTCCTATCTTGTTCTTTTCCCCTGTCACTGACTCTCACTCTCTCCATTGACTGGACTTCGTTCAATGTCTTATTTTTATGCTCTTGGCGTTGAGATCTTCTTACACTTTAGGCAGGATATTGGTCTTCACTATGGCCCCTTTATGAGTACACAGTTATGAATACTCCCTCACATCTTACACTTTTGTTTAGCGGTACAGTACAGAACATGACCCATGGTTGCAAAATTTCACATAAATTCATGATAGTACTGCATAGAAGTGATTTGAATGACACAATGACCCTTATCCTTCCAATTAATTATTTTTGTACAAATGTAAATGTAAAACTATTTTAAGAGGAACATAAAGATTAATTAAGAAATTATCTTTCCTCCCTCTCATAATTATACACAAAATTAAAAGCAGAAGTATGATGGCAAAAGAAGAAATCTTTACATTTATTTTATTTGATTCAAATGCTATACCCTAGGCACTCACACACTTCCTTTTTTCTGCTATCTGGCCAATAAACCATTCTCTACTGTCTACATTATTGTGTACGTAATCATTTTTACCAACTACATGATTTTTAACAGTACTGTACTTAAGATTTCTAATTGTACAGCAATAGCAAGAAAGGATAAGGTTATCCAAAGAAAGGTTATATTCAGAAATTTGGAAGACAGCATCTTTTATGCCACCTTAACCCTTTTGAGTCATATTTTTGTGTTTTAATGAAAACTTTGACATTGCAGCTAGCACTGATGAGTCAATACAGCAATGGAACAGGGTTCTTTTTGGCTTTCCTCATCCTAAATGCAAAATGGCAAGCTAAACTCTCACTGTAGGAATCTTATTTGTACTAACAATGTATGACTTAAAAAAAAATACAGCTGAATTTTCATACCCCAGGTTGAATATTTAGCACTTGCAGTTAGAGATTATTTTATAGTTTGAGAAAATTGAGCAAATCTCATATATAAATCAGAGGGAATTAATATGGAATTTTTAAATTACATTTTAACCATCCTCACAAAGTTCATGAAAAAGGCGACAGAAAAAATAAAGGGCTAACAGTGTGACATTCTGAGGATTATCTACTCAATCACTGAGATAATGGGAAATGTTCTGTGAACATCTGCCCTAGTATCTCTCATTTGTTCAGGGGAAATACTTCCATCTACAGAGTATGATTCTTTATTCAATCATATTATTTTTATGTTAGTGTTACTCAAGTGAAGTGAAACCAGTGTAACAGGGGAAAACCATAAAATGCACAAAAAATTCCACCTTCTTCCCTGGAAAAAAAAGACACTATTATATTATTCTCCCCCTCCCCCCCCTTCCCCCAACAACATACTTGTTTCACAGTTTGTAGCTCCTCTGTTAACTGTTTTCGTAGACCTACAGATTCAGACAATTCTTCCTGTTAATAGAAACAGTGACTAATTAGTTATGCAGCAGCAAAATGATATCCATGGAATATGGTCAGGTAGTATGTTCTAGCCACAACGTTCAACACAAAAGGAATACAAACAAATGACAACTTCAGTAAAGTCTGGAACCAGACCAAATCGTAATCTTAAGCGTAGTAATACTCAACAAGCAGCCCTATAGGTCAAATGTGGCCTGCCAAGACTTTCTGGGTGGTCCACCATCCAGTGCTTAATTCGAACCAAGGCTTTGCTGTTCATAGCCCTGGCATGGCTGGGCTTGCAGCATCAGTTACTGGTCCTGTTGTAGGCAGCAGGAGGCTCATACTGGCCACAGCGTGCCCTTTCAGTGCTGAGGCTGGAACCATTTTGCCCACATGCCCATTTTGCTCACTATGCTCTACTGGAAGGACAATAACACCCTGAGCTTGCCCAACACCTAGTGGATACAGCTGCTGCTAACTGGGCACAAGCTGTGCTCCTGCATCCAGGTCAGTGAGTCCTTGGGGTTGGGATCACCATCACCTGGCAATGCCTACTTGGCTTGCTGGGGGGTGCCTACAAGAAGTCCACTGCCCTCTGGAAGGCCCAGAAGAGACAAAGACTCTCCACTGCTGGTGGCTAGGAGAGAGGTGAGGCCCCAGGAGCTGAGGAGGTGACTGTGCAGCTACGATACAGTGCAGTGGAAGCTGGGCACTAGGGCAGAAGGGAGGCTGAGGAGGTGCACAGCAGGGTGCACAGGATGTGCAAGGTGGGGAGGGAGCTCTGCGCTCCAGGGCATAGACCCTGCCATGATGGCCGCAATCCTGGCTGCTGCAGCCGCAGCAGAACCCATGCTTGGTGAGATGGGTGAGTGTGCTTATCCAATTCCACACCGTGTATCCACACCAGGATGCAGTGAGAGTTGGGCCTGATCCTGGACCTCCACACCTGAGGGCTGGGGTACTCTTCCCCCCAGAGGATTCATCAAGCAGGTACCCCAACTGGGCCTAGAGCAGAGTGATCCAGATTCATTGCTTCTTTGTATTAGGAGAGCAATGCATCAGGTAGGACAGAAAATTAACACCCTCCTCTGCAGCACTGAGAGAACAATTGGAATGACAAGGGGGCAGCGCTGTTCTCCCATGTTCCCTGTCCATTTCGAAACCAAAGGACAGGTAATAATGTTCATTAATAAACTCTCTTAAAAACCAGAAACACTAGTATTTTGTTGCAATCATAGTGGCAGCTGTATTTTTTATTTTGTGAGACTTCTGCACCAGTAGTCCCCCTCTTGTCATAAAATTCTCAAATTGATTGAAGGATAGAGAATCACTGCTCTAGAGGTTAATATTTTAGATAGACTGGCAATTGTATAGTTAATGTATTCCTTTATCTTTCTTGAACAGTTATTGAGAATTATGCACACATATACTTATTTAATATCTATACTTTTAAAATATAATAGAATTTTGTTGCATTATTTTTATTTATACGGAAGAACAAACAAAGATTTTTACAGTTTTGACAATCTCTGAGAGGCATAAGACCATTTTTTAGAATACACAGTGTAATTTATTGTATTGATTTGCAGACATTTCTTTAAAATTCTGTTTACTTTTTCAGGAAAACAATACATACATCCTTCAAATTATACTTCATCTACCACTACTGTGCAATATATGTACAGTTTTTTCCTATTAAATCTCTGAACATTTTTCCAACCATTCTGAATACCTTGGAAGTGCTAGATTTCCATTTTCAGAGAATTAGATGTTTTGCCACTACAAGAGATGTCAAGAATCCATTTTCTACCAATTTAAGTATAGAAATTTTTGCAGAGGAACAGATCTGTGTTTTAGAACTGAAAGAGCACTTTGGATATATTGCAACAACATTTGCTGTAATTTGTGGCATCTCCCGCATTTGCTATGGCTATGGAAAAAAAGCTATTCTCTAGCCACTCTAGTGTCAAATAAAATCTTTTAAAGATTTTGTTATGTAGAAATCAGAAATGATGAGCTGAATGTATTTCTGATATTCTGCCATATCTTTTCCAAATATTCTTTTGCCAAGAATATAAATTACTCAACAACTTTATCATAAATATTATGCATTTGTATATGTGGCCTGAAAGATGCCCTTTATAATCATCAAACCTCTCAAAAAACCTGTATTAGAGACATTTTTCCTTTACCTAATAGTAACAACTGTTATATAGCTACTTTTGGCAATCTATTAAAAAAATCTCATTTTTGGTACAAAATGGAAGGAACCTAATTAACTTTATGTTCTTAATCAATACAGGAGAAGATTTAATTTCCATTGATTTGTTTTTGTAACATGCAAATATTTTTAATATTTGTCTGCACTATGACTTACACTCTGAGTTTTCCTATATGGGACTGAATATTGAATTTGAAAAGTGTCAGTTGTAATTTGCCTCAACTTGTACTTAATAAAAGGTATTTAATAAACGTTACTGGTAAATGTACTGAGACCTAGCAATGTCTGCAGTGCACTAGAGGGAGTTGCTAAGGGCATGATCCAAAGCTCATGGAAGACAATAGGAGTATGTCTACACTACAAAGTTAATTCAAACTAACGGACGTTAGTTCGAATTAACTTTGATAGGCGCTACACTAGCGCTCCGCTAGTTCGAACTTAATTCGAACTAGCGAAGTACTTATTCGAACTAGGTAAACCTCATTCTACAAGGACTAAGCCTAGTTCGAACTTACTAGTTCGAATTAAGGGCTGTGTAGCCCCTTAATTCGAACTAGTGGGAGGCTAGCCCTCCCCAGCTTTCCCTGGTGGCCACTCTGGCCAACACCAGGGAAACTCGTATGCCCCCCTCCCGGCCCTGGCCCCCTTAAAGGAGCAGGTGTGCATGAAAATCAAGGTGTTCCACTGAGACCCCTGACCCTGAGCCCTGAGCTTACAATGGCCGTACTGGGTCAGACCAAAGGTCCATCTAGCCCAGTAGCCTGTCTGCCGACAGCGGCCAACCCTAGGGACCCTGGAGGGGATGGACCGAAGACAGTGACCAAACCATTTGTCTCATGCCATCCCTCTCCAGCCTTCCACAAACTTTGGGCAGGGACACCACTCCCACCCCCTGGCTAATACCACTCCATGGACCCAACCTCCATGACTTGATCTCACATCCCTTTAAACTCTGTTCTAGTTGTA